CGGTAGTCACTTTTCGGTAAGGAACTAAGGGACTCGGTTATTGTATCGAGTGGGGGGTCGAAACGATCGCAAAGGCGGTATACTACGTATACGCGCCAACAATCTGCCTTCAAATTTTGGGAGTACATGATTCATAATCAAGGATATTGATGAAAAGATCTAGGGTGTTTGTTGCTTGGTTTCTCTGTAAATTAATGCAACCTATGGGGACACTAGGCAATATGAGATATAATCAGGCTGGTTCCAATCGATTTCGTCCGATTTTCTTCACTTTTTTACAAACTTTTTGACAGTTCAGTAGATTTGGAGCGAAATATTTCTCTATGTAAGATGGCATATCGACGGTGAAACTACCAAACCACGTATCTCGGTTTGCGACGTCGCAAACTTCCTGTCATACTTTATTATTTAAATGAAAAACTACTTAACGTCCAGTCTTGAAAATTTCTGTGATTTTTCCTCTTCGTGCGGAGAAAATTCTGTGAAAATTTCAAGGAATGATATTGATTTGGTCTACTTCAAAAAAATAAAATGTGAGCGTAGATTTTTAAACACCGCAAACGAGATACGTGGTTTGGTAGTTTCACCGTCGATATTCTATAGAAGCATTCTCCATGTAATATATCCCTGCATCACAGCATCACCCCTCTCTGCGAATCCTGCGCCAACTCAATCCTAAGCTCTGCACTCAACCCCCACATCTCCTTTCGGCAGGCACAGTTAGGCCGGGTTTTTCTGCGACTCTGAGACACCATCTTCTGTGTTATGTGAGGTTCAGCTCAGTATTTTTTCTTTTTTTCTCTTCCTTTTATTTAAACTTTTTTTCACTTACTCATATGATTCTACTAACTATTTTTGTGATTCTTACAGTTCTCTATACAAAATTGTTTTATTTTTCATGGCAAAGTATCATCTTTAACCCCCACCCCCTCCTACCGCTTTTATGAAGTGGTTCCCAATTCTGTAAAACGTCAAAACGAAAAAGCGCAACACTATCCTGAACCAGGGTGGCATGAAACGTAAGAAAGAAATGAAAGATTGGAAATTTCAGTGAAATATTTCATGAACTTTCACGAGGCTGTGAAATATTTCATATTTGTCAGGGGCTAGAGTATGCAACATGCACTCAAACACACAAAATTAAAAAAAGTCACAATTTTTACATTTTGCGGAACATGAGAAGGATCCGGTATTTTTCAATGTCTTTCATAAATTTCTGAAATTTCATGAAACATTTCATGTAAAATTTCAAGATTTTATTTTTCATGAAATTTTGCCACCCTGTCCTAGACCCCTTCCCTTATAGCGCTACGTATTTTATGAACGGCCCCCTAGTATGAACCGAGCACAATTCTAAAATATCGTCACATTAGCGACCCTTCTGTAAGGCTGGAAGATTCCCTGGTGTTCTCTCCTTTCCAGAGATATGATTCCTTTTGCTACCCACGAGTATTTCAATTTGGATATTTCTAAAAGACGGGCAATAACCGAGGCAGATAAATTGCTTCACCAACATCTTCCTCCTTTTCCCGACTTCCAATAATTTCAAATTTCTTACTTCGGAAATTTGAAAAATTCTTGTTCCTCAAATTAAAAAAAAATCGCTAGGGGTGGGGAGACTAACGTGGAGATGTGAATTTTTCGATCGAAATTCACTACCATGCGGAGCGCAAATCATATCATAATGATTTTTGCTGAAGAGTTTTGTAGCTCAAATAAAAGTTTCCCCCAAGACCTTTACGATACGTGCACAATCGCTGCTTAAGGCACGCAATAACCGAGGATATGATGCGGTACTGCCTAACTTTTAGTGAAAGGCCGGAATGTCAATTAATTACGGAATTCAAAATCATGTTCATGTTCTCTCAAGATTTACAAATGAATTTAAATAAGTACGAAGTAATTTATTGGTCAAAATAATCCTATCGTGTTTCACCTTTCCTCCGTCATTGCAAAACTTCCCAGAAAAAACATCGAATACAGCTAGTCGATCTTTCAAACAATTTCATATCACGTCTTATACCAGACAACAAATACCCCAAGGCCAAAAGAGAATACGCTTTCATGATGATTTTTACGAATTTCTGTCCCTTTTCCCCTCCGTATATACCAACCATACCGATGAAAATTCATCTTGATAAACAAATTAAGTTTTATGGGAAGTGAGATAACCCTCTGTACATCGCAATTTATCAAGAATCTGTCTTAGAATCCGGGAAGTCACGCAAAGTCGCGTCCACTTCTGGTTGCATAAGGCGCGGCGCGGCGCGGCGACGAATCGGGTCAAAACGCCTACCAACGGAAAGTGCTTGCCACGGGGGTGCGCTTCAAATTGAGCTCATGGATTTATTTATCATCGCACAAAAATGGTTGTGGTATCATTTTAAACGTCAGAAAATGATCTTTCTACAAAACACGAGAGGAGGTGTGTTTCTCCACCCTATTGAAAATTATTCGTCGTTGTAAATTTTGGCAATTTGAACATTTTCTATTCATTTGGAAAGTACCCGGAAAAGTCGGAGGAAAAACGCAAGTATATCCGTAACACTCGTTGACTTTCAACATAGCTTCTAAACAAGCCCAAAATAATGAAAATCGGACGAGAATGTGCCGAGATATAGCGCGCGTATGACTTGCGTAGCGCGTTAATTGCCCGTATTCCGCCGTTTTCACCGCGCACCGCGTACCGCGACGCTCACTTAAATTGCCCTAGCGGGTGCATTTTTTGACGCAAAAAAATTGTTTTGGTATCAAATTAAAAGTCAGATAATTTCCCATCGCCGTTACTTAAGGCAAAAACGTCATTTTCTCGCGTGTTAAATAATTATACGCTCTTGAAAATTGGGTGAAATTTCAAAATTTCAAAATTTTCCTATGACCGTGTATGTGTGCCTTAGGCGAAAAAATTTATGAGGTAGACTTCTGGAGAAGCATTTTAGCTTCAAAACGAGACCAAGAAAACGAAAATCGGACCCGAAGTTTCCGAGATATAGCGCGCTGAAAAAACGCTCGGCGGCCATCTTTAACGGCCGCCATCTTGGTTCCTGCACGGACCTCAGAGTGCTTCCCCTTCTAAAAGGGCTTCTTATGACCATAAGAATGATTCCTGAAAGCGGCAATTTCCAATCAAAAAGTGCAGGGTTTTGGCTATTATTCGATCGTACCCACCGTACTAGTGTCAGCTGCTGCCACATGCCGGAAACCGATTTATAGTTTATGCTTATTGAAATCCAATGAATCGTGACCGTGCAAGGGGGATAAGAGGCAATAATTTCAGAAGATCGATTCTAGTCAAGTTCGGTCGAAAATTTTGTTTCTGAATTTCGATGAAAAACTCTCTCTGGTATTCCGAATAATAATTTGTAGCCGATCAAGTTTATTTTTGCGTCAATGCAATCCGACATTTTTATTTTAGGTTGCAAATACGGCTTCTTAAAATTTTAAGTAGTTTTCTTGGCGAACAATGTTTTTGAGGAACAAATTTGAAACGCTGACAACTCGATCTGGACAGGTTTGACATTCTAAGCGTTCTCCTGCCGTTGAAAAGGAAAAATACATTCCAAAATTTGTTTCATAGTATCTGAAGGGAACTGTGAAAAATTTCCTGAACTGCACGGATGCTCGTAATCTGAGGCGTTCCTCGACGACGAACAAGACGGGCGCGGGATGAATCAATAGGATTGACTGATTCGAATTAACTTTTTCGAAACAATCATTTTTTGGCACAAACAATGGGGAAATCGATTTTTCGGTGTCAACTAAGAACCGAACCGGTGAACGACTGAAATCGGCGAATAGTTACTTTAAACGCGGACGATTTCTGCCACGTTCGGGTCCGACTTTCGAAAACGTCAACGGCGTCTTTCGGCGAAATGTTATATGATCATATTGTTGGAGATTTTTCAAAATTTCAGTCGGAGACATGATTTTGTATCGGTAAATAGATCGATTTTACTTACAAATTGATTCCTCTAAAAAAAATCCAAAAGATTTCTCATCATCATTGATCATTGTGTAGATCATTGTGTAGACTTTTATCAAAAATCCAAAGACTTTCTTCGAAAATCATACGGATTTTCCTTAAAAATCAAAAATAGTGTTTTTTTTAAAAAAAAATCGAATAGATTCCTAGTGAAGACGAATGCTTTTTTCCAGGTTCAAATCGATTTCTCTCAAGACGTCAAATGAGTTTTTTTCGAAAATCCGACTGATCTACCACGAAACCAGTTGCGAGGCGTGAACGATCGTATCGATATTTTCCCATTTGAAACTATGGTAAAGAATCGATTATTAAGGTATCCGCTACGAACACCCTGAATATCGATCATTTCCCATAGGTTTAAACGGCAGACAGTGGATGTATCGCCGAGCACGCCACACTAGAAAAAAAAGTAGCTTGGATCTAGAGTCCAGACTCTTAAAAATCACTGACAAGAAAAAAGTACTCTTGATTCAATCGGACTTTTTGCTTGAATCAAAAGAAAATCCGCTCAAATTAAGAGACTCGGCTCTTCGAGTCAAGAAAAAATCGGATTGAATCAAGAGTATTCTTTCGTCAATGTTTTTAAGAGTCCAGACTCCAGATCTAGGCGACTTTTTTTCCAGTGCATGTCATTGCACTGGGGAAAAAAACACATTGGATCTAGAGTCCAGACTCTTAAAAACATCGACAAGATAAAATACTCTCGATTCAATCAGATTTAAGCTTAAGTCAAGAACCAAGCCTCTTAATTTGAGCGGATTTCCTTTTGATTCAAGCTTAAATCCGATTGAATCAAGAGTCCTTTTTCTCGTCAATGTTTCCAAGAGTCTGAACTCTAGATCCAATGTGTTTTTTTTTTCTGTGGCGTGCTCGGCGATATATCCACTGTCTGCCGTTTAAACCTATGGGAAAGGATCGATATTCAGGGTGTTCGCAGCGAATACCTTAATAATCGATTCTTTACCACAGTTTCAAATGGGGAAATATCGATACGATCGTTCACGCCTCGCAACTGGTTTCGTAGTAGATCAGTCGAATTTTCGAAAAGAATTCAATTGACGTCTTGAGAGAAATCGATTTGAACCTGGAAAAAAATCATACGTCTTCACGAGGAATCTATTCGATTTTTTGAAAAACACTATTTTTGATTTTTAAGGAAAATCCGTATGATTTTCGAAGAGAGTCTTTGGCTTTTTGATGAAAGTCTACACAATGATCGAGAGAAATCTTTTGGATTTTTTTTTAGAGGAATCAATTTGTAAGTAAAATCTATCTATTTACTGATACAAAATCATGTCTCAGACTGAAATTTTGAAAAATCTCCAACAAATTGATCATTTTCGAGAAGAATTCATTTTTCCAGTGTGCTCGAAGTCCAGAGGGATCCTCACGTAAAACGAAAAGGGTTCTCGCAAGACATGACGGGGTGGAAATACGGGGATCCTCAGATCCTGTCCTCCTCGTTCTCCTCCTCCTCTTCCTCCTCGAGCTCCTCCTTGGCCTCCTCGGACTCCTCCCGGTAGCCGGGGTGCTCGGAGATGGCGTAGTAGTTGCCGTTGTAGATGACGCCGAGCTCGCGGAGGACCTCGCCGCGGATGGTGGCCTTGATGGTCCAGTTGTGGGTCTCCTCGGACTCGGACTCCCGGTCGAGGCGCTCCACGTCGACGATCTTGCTGTTGAGCCGCTCGAGGATGATGCCGATGTCTTTGATTGTCAGGTGCCGGCTCTGCTCCACCGAGAGCTGGTCAATGAGCAGCAGGAACTTCTCGCTCGTCCCGACCTCGTCCTCCATCACGGTCGTCTCCGTCTCCGACTCGGAGCTCTCGTGCTCGTGCGCTCCGCCGCCCCCGCCCCCGCCGCGGGCTCCGCACCCTTCAATGTCTGCGAAAAGAAAGAAAATGCGAAGATAAAAACCCGAGTACCACGCTAAGACGAAAAAACCCGGTAAAACGATCCTGTGGGAACATATAGTACATAGAGTCGTAATGTGAATGGGAGAGCTGGCGCCATATTCTGCTCGACGAGTGCTGAGCCCGGTGTGCTGGTCACTTTTTCGATACATATTCGATCCAAAATGGCGGTGTGGAGTACGTAGTAATTCCATGGCCAGGTCCTTGCGTATTGCAAACAATCGATTATGTATCAAAAAAGTGACCCGGCGCCGCACAGGAGTCCCCAATGGGATCCATGAAATTCCAATGGGAACCATCGCGAATTGCCAGTGAGGACCCGTAGGCCTGCACAGGTTCTAATGGGAATTTCTCTGCAGGTTCCCATGGGACCATTTTACCAGGGATATTCAAATCATTTGATAATTTAATCCGATTAGATCGCAATTTTTTACCAGTAACTGACAATATTTCTACATCATTTGGACGTATGTGTGCTAAAAGGTACCAGCGGGCTGATTATAAAAATGCATAGACAAAACGACTGACAAAGAAGACAAAAGGAGTATGGAGCTATCCTATTGGTTGAAACGGGTGGCTCCTATAGACTAAGGAAGAAAGTGACGGACTAACTGAAGGTTTTCTTATCGGTTGCCATTAGTTAGTACATTACTTACCTCCTTTGCCCATCGCAACCATCCGCTTCCAGCGATAAGATCCCTCTATATCCCTTTTGTCTGCTTTGTCTATCACTATGTCTATCAATGTCAATAATCGGCCCGTAGGCCGTTAGTTGAGGGCCGTAGAAATGAGTGGGAATTATAAAACGCCATGACGTCAGCTGCGACGACGGAGACTAACGCTCTTATCACATGCCCAAGGCTCATGAATTAGCATATTTCGGCGCTCAGTTCGCCTTTTGATTTTATGTCAAATCCCACTTTTCCATTTGTCTATCGACTAAGGAATAATTATGTCCATCGCTCTCTCGATCAATATTAACAACGATTCTCGCGGAAACTGGAGACTTGTCCAGGACTATGTCAAGCACATCTTGGAGCCAAAAAGAGTAATTCTGGACCAACATAGCCGACGAATGCCAAATGGTGGATTACAGTAATGTCACAACCAGCAGAGGCGCATAGTCTTCAGTTTCTGTGTGCCTCAGTCACAATGCCCTCTATTAGTAAATTCTTTGACCTAATTTCATGTTTTTTCTCACTTCGCAGAAACTTGTAAACATCATGTTAATATTTACTCAATGGCAATAACAAAATAAAAATCAATAATGAACTTCACCCTGGAACCCCCTCCCCCACCCCCATCTCCCCCTAC